TGGTCAGCTTGCCTCGCTGATGACTAGCTACCAGGTTGGGAGCGCGTACTATCGTTCCGGGCTGCCAATTCGTACATTGAGTTGACACTTTTTTGGAAACCACGTTTTTTACCGGTTTTTCGGTTGTAACTCGGCCGGTTTTCGTCTGACGGCTAAGGGAGCAAAAAATTTACCCCTTCCGAAACCACCTGTCCGGCTTTTGGGACTCTGGACGTAGACCCGCAAACCCGAACCTCCTACCCCCAACTTTGGCGGAGATGCGGGTCCCGGGAGTCTGCTTTTCTGGTCGATTTTTGGACTCGACTGGACGTGGCTTTGGCTCTCGGCGTGTGCTGCGCTGAGACCGGGTGCCTCTGGCGGGTGTGCAGACTGGTCACTGGCTAGGTTGGATGACACGGATGGGAGCTCGTGCCCTGCCTCCGGCCGCTTGTCTTGCGCGCTCCTCTTCCTCTTTGAGCGACAGGATGTTCTCGATGGTTTTGTACAGCAACCTGAAGCCTTCTCCGGCGTTGTACAGTAGGGTGGCCCTGTCCTCGGTGTCCTCCGGCAGCAGGTAGAAGTCGGGTCCGCACAGGAGCTCCGGGAGGTCGTCGGCGCCCGGCGGGTGTTCCAGGTGGGCGCCAAGTTCGTCCCGGAGGCCGTTCCAGCGGGGGCAGACGAAGATGGTGTGCTCTGCTGAGTCGTTGCGGTCCGGGCAGTGCCAGCACGCCGCGTTGGCTGGCCTGTTCATCCTGTTCAAGTACTGTTCGAAGCATCCGTGGTTAGAAAGGGCCTGCGTCATGTGGAAGGACAGGGGTACCCTGGGCACGGTCCTCTCCAACCACCTCCTGACGTCTGGCAGCGCTCGCCGCGTCCAGGCTCCTTTGTCCGTCGATTCCCAGCCCACCTGGCACAGTTCGATGGTCACCTGTCGTTCTTCTCTCTTGGTGGCGGCTTTGGACGTCCGGGGCTCGCCGGGGATCGGGGCGGCGCTCAGCCGGTCCCTGATCCGGCCCCGCTCTAGGGTCTCGAGGTCGGCGGGTACGATGTATGCCAGGAGCAGGGCGGCTTCGTCGGACACTGTCCTGTAGGCACGGATCACCCTCAGGGCAGCTGTCCTCTGCGGGCGGATCAGTTTGGCGCTTGTCCTCGCGACGGCGGTGACTCTGTCGGCCCAGATGGGAGACGCGTACAGTAGCTGACTTTCCACCACGGAAGCCAGAAGTCTGCGTTTCCATTGGCACGGTCCTTTAATGTTCGGCATCAGTCTGGCCAAGGCCGCGGCTGAGCGGGTGGCTTTCTTGGCGACGGTGTTTATATGCGGCGCGAAGGTGAGCCGTTGGTCCAAGATGACTCCCAGGTACCTGAGGCTCTTCTGGATTCTTATCGGGTGTCCGCCTACCACCAGGCGGAGAGGCTCGAACTCGCGTCTGTTGGTCAGGAGCACGGCTTCGCTCTTTTGATGCGCCAGCTGGAGGCTCCTCTGCTGCATCCACTCGTCGATGGCGGCCAACGTGGGGTTCAGTGCGTCTTCGAGCAGTGGGCCCGTCCTGGCCACTCCTACGACGGCCAAGTCGTCCGCGAAGCCCACCAGGTGGACGCCCGGTGGGACTTGCACCTCCGGCAGACCGTCGTAGGACACGTTCCAGAGTGCCGGGCCTAGGACGGAGCCCTGCGGAACGCCGCACGTTACGGGCCTGGCGGTCAGTTCTGTTCCCGTCAGCAGGCACCTGTCGGACAGCCAGGAGCGGAACATTTTCACGAGGTATTCCGGCGTTTTCTTCGTTCTGAGCGCTGTGTCGATGACCGGCCACTTCAGGGTGTTGAACGCGTTTTTCACGTCCAGCGTCACGAGGATGCACAGGTCTTTATGACCTCAGCCGTTGGCGGCGAGGGTGGCCACCTCCAGGACCTTGGCGTCGGCCGACTCCTTGCTGACTCCTTTTCTGAACCCGTACTGGTTCCGGGCCCTTCTTCAGCCCCCATGGGCGTCGAGGTGCTCCTCGAGCCTCTGGAGTAGAAGGCGTTCCAGAAGTTTGTCCAACATGCATATCGGTCTGTACGAGGACGGAGCTTCGGGCGGCTTGTCCGGGCCTTTTCTCAGCAGCACGAGACGTGCCCTCTTCCAACGAGGCGGGAAGGTCAGGGCTCGAAGGCAGTTGTTCAGCAGCTCGAGTACCCTGCGCGGTCTGGTGTTCAGCAGAGCCCTGAGCACCTCGTTCGGGATCCCCGAGGGCCCGGTCGCTTTGCCGGCCGGCAGAAGCTTGGCGGCTCTGCACAGTTCTTCCAACGTGAATTCGGGAATGACCCTCGTGAACACTAGATCGTTCAAGATAAGGTCGAACGCTTCGAATATGTCGTTGACCACGGCCGACGGGGTGGCGGCCGAGTCGGTGGCGGGTGCCGCGGGGAAGAGAAAGTCGGCGATGCCGGCCTCCCTGCCCCTCGAACCGCCCCCCGGAGGGCGGAACCAGAGTTTTCTCATGACGAGATTGGACGGTCTGCCCCAGGGATCCGTGTCGACCTGGGCGCAGAGGTCCGACCAGCAGTCCTTCTTTGCCTCCCTGATTGCCGTCCGGAGTCCTCTTCTAGCGAGGCCGAAGGCGGTTCTGACCTCGAGTTAGTCCGGCCGGTCGGCGCGACTGAGTTGCCTTTGGTATTGTCTGCGAACGGCCAGGCATATTGTTCTCAGGGCGGCGATGTCCTCCGACCACCAGTACACTGGCCGTCTGCCCGGCGGACCGGCTCTTTTCCTCGGCATGGAAGCCTCGCACGCGGCCGTGAGGTACTCGTCCAAGATGTCGGCGGATTTTAGCGCTCTGGCGGCGCCGTCCTCCCCGTCGGCGGTGTCCACTAACGATGTGGCGGGAAACTCGCTCAGCGCCGGCGAGTTGAGCTTGCGCACGGACCATTTGAGAGGTGCGTCGGCGGGCGGTCCGGCTTAGGCGGATGCCCGGCCGAGGAGAAGTAGATATACTGATGGTCGCTCAGGGATTCGTCCTCCAGGACACGCCATCCCGTGCAGACGACTCGGCGGTAGAAGCTGACGTCGATGATTGAGGTGGCTGCTCCGCGGGCGAACGTGGGGGCGTCCCGTTCGTTCGCTAATATGAGGGCCAGGCTGACGGCCAGATCGGACAGCAGGCATCCTCTCGGGTTGCTGACCCTGGAGCCCCAAGCGTTGAAGTCGCCGGTGAGAACGATTTGGCTGTTCCCTCTGGCACGTATCGCTTCCCGAGGTGTCCGAGGAACAGGGCGAAATCTTGCAGCGTCGAGCCCGGGCGCCAGTAACAGCTGAAGACGGTTAGTTCTCCGAACGACAGCCAGGCGAATCCTTCGCCGGAGCCATGTCCGTCGTGGCTCAGAGCAGAGTGCCATGAAATCCCGACGGCGGACTTGCGGTCGGAACTGAAGACCCACTGGTTCTCGTCGCCGTGGTGAACGGCCGGCTCGGAAGTAATGAGAATGTCGACTCCCGTGTCGAATGCGGTCTGGGCCAACAATTGCTCGGCGGCCCAGATCTCGTTTAAGTTCGCTTGCGAGAAGTTAATCGTTGGACGGTGTGGTGGTCGGCCTGGCGGCCCCCTCTCCGTGCGACGCAAGCGCCCGTTCCTGCCTTGTGCGTTTTCTTCGGCAGGCCGGCCAGCTGGAACGCCAGGCAGTTGTCGTCGGCCTCGGTGAGACCTAACCTAACCTTTTTTTTTTTTTTTTTCCGGGTTGAATCGAAGGCCGGAGGTGGAACCGCGTTAGCATTACTTCACCTCCGGCCCCAATCGTTTATTGAAAAATATCAAATACAACAAAACATATTAGCGGCGGTGGGCCAATCCCCCACTCGCCGGCTATCACAAAAACGATTTATACAATTAATACAAGTACAACAAACAAACAAACGAACGAATTAGTTATTCGTGGGCTGCCCTGTCGACGACGGCCTGGTCGCCTTCCTCCTGTCTGCGCACCCTCCAGTGCCTGGTCTGTGAACTGCCTTCGGGAGTCCTGCGAGGTCGCACGCCAGACAGCTGTCCTCCGGTTCCGGGCACTCCTTCATCACGTTTCCAGACTTGCCGCACCTCCAGCACGCACCTGTTCTGTCAGCAGCGGCCGAGCACGCCCTGGCGTTGTGGCCGAACTCTTGGCACTGGAAGCACCTCTCTGGAGAGAGAGTCCTTGGCCTTACTCGGCACATGGTCCACCCGATCGGAACCCTGGTAATGTTGACGTCGAAGTTCTTGGGCATCTTGGCTGTGGCTATCTGCTGACCCGATCGGGTGGCTCATATCTTGAGGCCACTAATTGCTTCCCTATCCACTGCGCCGGGGGCCTCCTGCCCTGGGATGGCGACCCTTAACGCCTCAAGGACCTCATGAGCGGTGGCTGCTGCGTCAATGTCGAGGACCTCCACCTCCACTTCGACGCCGAGTTGCACTATCCTGCCTACTGCGCTGCCGAGTTTGTCTGACACTGCTGCGGAGATGCGTTTCGCATCGGAGGCGGAGCTCCCTCCCTTGGGTAGCTCCATGAGTAGGCTTCCGTCTCGGGTTTTCCGCATCGTGACACTCGCGCCCAGGTCTGTTATTGACAGGCCGCAGTTGCGCACGGCTTGGACAGTGTCGGCGTAGGACTTCCTGTCCGCATTTTTTACGAGAATGGCTGGTGGTTTCCTCGAGGAGGCTTGCGGCTGCGCGCGTTCTCCGGGTGGCTGCCGTTTTCCGGAAGGGGGTCTTCTCGAGGGACGTCTCCTGACGACCACCGACCAGCCCTCCGCCTCGGTTTCGACCTCGACTTCCATCTGCCTTCGCCTCTCTGACTTCCGTGCTGTCCCAATGGGCTGGGGTCAGCTCCATGTCGGTGGACGCGTCGGTGGTGCTGGACGAGGTGGCGGAGTCCGGTGTTTGGGTCACGCGGATCCTCCCGGCGGCCTTGAGGAATTGCTTCAGCTTGCCTTTCTGGTTCGTGAGCCTCTGTAGTAGATTTCTAGCTTTATTGTCTCTTTTTTCGAATTGTTCGACCAAAACGTTTTAGTGTTCGTCCTTAGTTATGCGCGAGCATTTTGTATCAGTCAAATTGGATTCCAGGCATTCAATGACCTGCACGAGCGCATACTCGATTTCTGTGGCATCTTTTTCCATGGTAGAAAGTGCCTCTTCCTCCTGTGTCTTCTGCTTTTTTGCGGCGGGTTGCGGTCCTGCGGTGACTACGGCGAAGGCCCCGACCGCAGATGTCCCGGAGGCGCGACTGATCTGTGCGAGGTATTGCGCTGTCGTATCCATCTCGACGTCGGAAGGGGGGCTGTTCATCGTGAGCCGGGGGCCTGGCCCCGGGGCTGAGATGAGGCGCTGTCCCTATCCGCGCTGTCTTCTGTCGGAGCGCACTAACAGGTGCAATCCTAACTAACCGCACCGTCCCTATCGGAGTGGCGGTGTGGAGTTCACTGTCCCTATCGGGAGAGATCACTGTCCCTATCGGGGGACCCGAACTCCTCCCCTGGGGGGATAGGGGGTCCGAGTTTGCATGGTCTTGTCTTGTCTTTGAGAGCTGCTAGGACATCGTCGAGGGGGCAAAATTTTCTTCCCGAAGCTCTAGGAGCAACCGTAACGGAGATACGGCCGAAAAACCGTGGGGAGCGTAGAGGGGGTCCTCTGGCTGGGGCGCGCTGGCCCGGTGGGGGGCCGCACTTACCTACTTGGAAGTAGTGCGCGCCGGCAGAGACCTCTAGGTGACTTTGACTGTGGGTGGCGGCGTTGGTGACACTGGGGTATAGCGGAACGACCGGACTGGGACGGCTCGGGAGCGAGCTCGGCGGAACACGTCCTTCCTTGGCGGACGACTCTGCGCGACTGGCGGACGACTCTGCGTGACTGACCTAACCTAACCTAACCAATCCGAGAGGTTCCGATAACGGCCACGTCGTCGGCGAATTCCACCAGTTGAACTCCGGTTTGCATGTCGGTGTCGAGAAGTTCCTCGTAAAATATGTTCCATAACGCGGGGCCGAGGACCGAGCCCTGTGGGACCCCGCACGTGATGCTCCTCACTCTTTATGCCTCTCCGACGAGGAGGATCCTGTCCTCCAGATAAGATCGTATCATGCGGTTCAGGTGCGAGGGGACCAGCCTTTCGCGGAGAGCGGCGTCGATCCGTGGCCACGGGGCGGTGTTGAACGCGTTGCGCACGTCGAGGGACACGACTACACACGGGTCGCAGTGTTGGACTGCACCTGATGCGGCTCCCCGGGCTGCGCGTTTTACGCGATCGATTGCGTCGTCGGTGGATCGTCCTTGCCGAAACCCGTACTGGTTCTCGGACCTTTGTTCGGTTGAGTTAAGGTGCTGATTGAGTCTCGTCAGCAAGAGTCGCTCCAGGAGCTTGGCCGCGGAGTTGAGCATGCATAGTGGCCTGTAGCTCGAAGGCTTGAGGATCGGCTTTCCAGGTCCCTTGTGGAGAAGGACGAGCCTGGCCGTCTTACAGCGTGCAGGGAATTCGTTCCTGAACAGGCAGCAGTTGTAGGTGTTCAGAAGAGCTTTTGGGGCTGTTTTGGAGACCCGGAGGAGAACCTCGTTGGGAATCCCGTCTGGTCCCGTGGCTTTGCCCGCCAGCAACCGTGTGCACGCTTCTCGTAGCTCTTCGAGTGTGAACCGGTGTGCGTGCTTGCGGATCGCCGGGGTCGTCGATCAGCGGGGGCTCAAGTGACCATTCGGTTGCTGGAGGTTCCGGGAAGAGGTGGTTGGCGATCGAGTCCTCCCTGCCGCGAGCATAGATGCATTGGCTCACCACCCTGTATGGTATTCCCCAAGGGTTGTCGTCGACGGCTTTACACAGCTCGGCCCAGCTCTTTGCCTGGGCGTCACGGATGGCGTTGCGTGCCTCTTTGCGCTTTGCCGAGGAAGCCGCGCGGTGGGCGTCCGTCAGGTCTTGAATGTCGTGCCTCCGAGCGAACCATTTGAGCTATCGGGGTTGCTGATTGGCCGCGGGGCGTGGCTACCGGAATGGGCGCCTCTGATTGGTCGATGCCACCAGTAGGCGCTTTTCCGAGTTGCTGACTGGACGACGGGAGCTGCTACTGCCGTCAATACGCTTCTACTAGCAAAATTCCTAAATCACAGAGCTTGCACAGAGAACACAACCGTCGTGATCGGCTGCCACGACTAGACTGACCTAACCTAACCTAACCATCTCCCTCCTCCAAGGCCACATTTTTCTGTGAGGTTAGCCGTTTTCGTGATCTCTATAGAAGCAGTACTAAATTCCTTATCCGTTGGTGCAATTACCAAGCCCCTAAGTCGAATAGGGGCCGAATTACGACTCTATATTTCCCTAAATTTCACGTAAATTTGAGAAAACAAACCATTTTTTTGCAAGAGTTGCTGACTGAAAATTCATAACTCTGCAACCAATTGAGATAACCTTGCAGCTGCAATGCCCAGGTACTAGCTGAATTTCCACACTACCCACGGGGTATCAGCTACAACGAGTTTTTTTTAAGTGGTTTCCCCAAGAGGCCTAATCCACTGACGTTCCAATCTCACCAGTTTTTTTTTAAGTGGTATCCCCGGAGGCCTAATCCACGTTATCGCGCAGGCGATATAAAAAAAAAAACTTCTCACAGCCCACCTAATGAACGATTTTAAAATCTTCAAATCCCGCACCTTGGTCCTAATGGACGGCAAGGACCTAGGTATTTTGTTGAAGGTCGGTGTACTCAGTAACTTGTATAGTCCTTCAGCGGTGTTCAAGATCGGGTCCTGGTTTAACACAAGACGTTTCAAAGTCGCCTCCTCTTCTGTGCTGAATTTCACCCTCACCGGCGACACAACACTGATTCTGCGGAAATTCTGCCCCAATTTAGACGTAGGCGTCTGGAGGTCCTGGAGTATTTCAGTGACTAGAAAAAAAAATTAAAATTAAAAAATAAAATAATTATTAGGCTTAAGGAAATCAAAAAAAATTTAAAAAATTAAAATATTGCCCCATACCAGTCGTAGGTGACTGGGGGACCTGGGGCACATCATTGACAAGAAAAAAAATCTTAATTAAAAAATAAAATAATTATTAAGGACTACATGAAATCGAAAAAAATTAAAATTTTACAAATAGGTAAACACGAAGCACCGTTGACATAGAGTTTCCTCACAATGGGTTTCTTAGGAACCCCAGCCCCTACATCCATTTCCAATTCCGCCGGAGGTGAGCCAGCCTCCGTAAAAATTGACCGGAACAACTGCCTGCTGGTTGGCGTCCCAACAGGCACGGCCCGGTTAACTATATCCGGAACCGATGGCTCAGGGGCCCCGCGGAATGGATAATGGAGTCTGGCATCAAACTTATGCAGCGGTCCAGGTGGTGGGTTTGCTGCATAATGGTGCTTCCTTTTGGCATAATACTCCTGTTCTGTCAGTAACCAATCGATCTGTTAATAAAATAATAAATAACTACTTGATTAATTCACAACATAGGGGCACAAAATGTTTTTAATACTAATTTCCACATCACCCAAAGAGGTATAGCATATAGGATGAGTTTTTATTTAAGTGGTTTCCCCAAGAGGCCTAATCCACTGACGGTCCCACGTCAACAGTTTTTTTTTAAGTGGTATCCCCGGAGGCCTAATCCACTGACGTTCCCACGTCACCAGTTTTTTTTTAAGTGGTATCCCCGAAAGCCTAATCCACGAACCGAACGGCTACAAAAAAAAACCTCAAATAAACCGCACGAGTGACTGCGGTTCACCAGCCTCACACAGATCAGCTCGAGTTTCAGTCACTCTTCTGGAGCGAGGGTCAATCTCCGACACAAACCTCCAGTCGCTTCTAAAGAAGATAAACAAAATATAAATTGATATAATATTCGTAAAACAACAAAATGTAAAAAAATATACATACAACTGGCGATGGGAATGTGCCATCAACAAAACAACGGTATGACCTCCACACACCCGTTGATGAGGCTCTCCAAACGTAGGACTACGTCCGCCATGTCGGCCCACCGAGAGACTAATTTGTACAGGCTGGCCATCCTGTACAAATTAGGATGCACAAATGCATCGAGTACGGTAGCGTAGCTAACTGTGCCGGATATCGACAGTCTACCCAACGCATCGTTGCTACGCCGACCGTACTCGACGACCAGCCGTCTTATGGTGAAAGCAGTTGCGGATGACGCTGGTGAAACTCATCCCGCATTCGATGTTCACCAGTCTGGCAGCGGTTGTCAGCCACCATTCTGCTGCCTGTAAAAACATAAATTATTATATTAAGAGTATTGAAATGTTAACAAAAACAAGTAAAAACAAACAAAAACTTACGTCTTCGGCTGTGCAACATAACAAGTCGACAGTGACCGACGAAAAAATTTCGGCCAATATCACCCTCACGAACCGACAACTGGTACATGACCGAAAATCTGAACCGGCAGTAGTCGGTTGAAATCTACGGTCCGTGAGGGATCATACCGGACGAAACCATTGTTGTCTCGCCGACTCTTCTTCCTGCTACCGGTAGCTAATTGGTGACACGGGAAGAGAATACAAACATTAGGCTACATTCAGCGTTCAGAGCGGCAGGTTGTTCACACATGCAACTCTCCGCCAACGCTCCTGACACGAACCAATCAACCGCACGACGACTTCCGACTGCACAGCACAGGCACAGCACAGACTTACGTAAGTAGAAAATTCCTTTATATCCCCCCCTGCTCGACCACGTGGCAAGGTACCTGAGGGATTACCGAGGAAGGGTCACGCACCGGTTGCATAAGGTTACCAATCCGCGCGTATTCTCGCCGACCATGACTCATCGTGGTGGCGTCGGACGCAACAAACGAAAATCAACACCACCTTATCCCACCGATAAGAAGGGTCGTAATCGGGCCTTCTCACCACCATCATTGCCATTACTCATGCCTTAAAGACTTACCTACCACATCGAAAAAACGCAAAGCAAGCCAATCCAGCACTGTCTCACCTCCTGAAAATTCAATAACTCTGAAGAAGCTGGCCATGGCCACCAATTGTTCATCAATTCCGGATACGGATAATACCACTAACAGCAACAACCGTTCTCGTTCCGTTTCTGTGGACGGATCTGAGTATTCTGATTCTAATGATACCATGTCTACTCCCCCTTCGGACACTGACGAGACAAACAAAAAATCACTTAAAAATGACCCACAATCCGACAATAAATGCTCCACCCGCATGCCACCAATTCTGATCCAAACCTCTGACCATCCATGGCGGAAAATAGCAAAAGCCATGTACACAAAAACTCAAGGTCTCGACCAAGTGACCGCGAAAACTACATCGATTCTGTTACAAATCTAAATAAACTGCCCTGAAGAGTCCTCATTCAGACTCGTCCAACAATTCATGACCATCAACAAAATCAGCTTCCACACTTTTGCATTACCCAAAGAACAATCTCTCAAGATTGTAATTAAAGGTGTTCCACTTGACGTTACTGACGATGAACTCATGGAAGAACTTCTAGAAGAAGGTTTCAAACCAAATTTTGTCCGAGCTTTTGTAAAAAATGATAAAAGACTTCCAATCCACATGGTCTCCCTAAAACGCACAGAAAATGTGAAACAAATATTTGAAACCACCGAACTTTTCTACGTCCGAGTAAAAATAGAACCATATAAATCAACGGGTCTCGCCCAATGCTTTTCATGCCAGAGATTTGGCCACTCATCACTTCAGTGCGAACACCCGCCAAGATGCGTTAAGTGTGGAGCAAACCATTCAAACAAAGAATGCAAGAAACCGAAAGAAGGTACCCCAACCTGCTGCAACTGTGATGGAAAACACACCGCAAACTATAGGGGCTGCCCATACCACACAGATATTTTTAAACGAAAAATAGACCACTCCAGAGAAGCAAGAAACAAATCCGTGCTGACAACGATGCCAACGCCTAAACCACTACCCGCAACACACGAAACCACCATAGCATCAAAAATCAAATCTTACGCGAATGTAACAAAACACCAAACAGAAAAGCCCGAACCTACAATAAACGCATGCAAGCTCCTACAAATAATCAAAGACTTCCTTACAACAGCTCAAGAAAGTGAAGACGTCGCATCAAAAAATGCGGTCATCACAACAGTCCTGAGAATCATAAACGCCATCCCTACTTCCCATGATGAATGACCTAAAAATCTTATCATGGAACTGCAACGGTATCGGAAACCGAATATCAGAACTGACAGCATTTGTAAAAATTCACAACGTAAATATAATCCTGCTTGGAGAAACCCGCTTCGAGTGCCTCGACTCCAAAACACAGCTCAAAATCCCAAATTTTCATACTTACCGCACAGATCACCAACCACGGCCAAGAACCCCTCCAAACGGGATAAAACAAAAAACGTCATATACTCAGAAGTCTTATAAAATTATTATATTAATTATTTATCAACAATAATTTTTTTCTTTTTTATCTGTATTTATTTTTATTTTTATTTTTATAAAGCTAGAAAAATTAATGTAATTATTTATACATATATTGTATTTATTATATTATATATTATTTATACTAGTTTGAGTCGTATATATTTGGTACATTTAACGGGTAACGAAGTACACAGGATCAGCTAGTATATATATATATACCTAGTATACTTTAGTCAGTAAGCTCCCCACTATTATAATTGTACCCTGTGGTCATTGCACCAAACCGAATCGACCACAGGGCCCCTGATCCCCATAAATAACCTGTATTGTCCTGATTTCCATATGTACGTCACCTCCCATCCTCGCCATAGTGTTGTCGTCGCGTGAACGTTTCAAGCCTGTGCGTAGAGTTGCCTACATTACCAACTAGTAGGCGTCAAGATATATGCAACATCTCGGTAGTCCCTTCTCGGTTCTTACCGAGTGGTTTTCTTTCTGGCCCCCACAAATTGGGAGCAGACAACATGGAAAATCATCCCTTAAAACATCTAACCATACATTATGAGTCATAATTTATGACCTTGAAAACATCACCTAAAGACATCTAAACAATCCCCAAAAAAAAATCCCCTAAAACCATCAAAAATCATCCCCCAACCTTGAGGATGGCCTTGAAAACATAAATTAAAAATATCATAAAACATCCACCGTAAACCTCCCCAAAAATAAAAAAACATCCCCTAAGCTAAAGGATGACCTTGAAACCTACACCTAAAAACATCTAAACAATCCCAAGAAAAACATCCCCTAAACCTTCAAAAATCATCTCCTAACCTTGATGTCCTTGAAAGCATCCATTAAAAACATCATAAATTATCCGCCGACAACCTAACCCAAAATAAAAAAAACATCCCCTAGCCAAAAAAACCATCCTTTAAAACCATCCCCTAACCAAAAAAAAACATCAACTAAAACCATCAAAAATTATCCCATAACCTTGAGGATGACCTTAAAAACATCCCTTAACACCATAACACATCCCCCTGAAAACATCCCCTAACCTAAAACATCCAATAAATACATCCCCTAATCTTAAGGAATACCTTGGAAACATCCCTTAAATACATCTTAAAACATCCACCGACCAAAAAACCTTAACTAAAAAAACATCCCCCACAGTAAAAAAAACCCTTCCCCCTTTGACATCACAATACATCCCCAAAACATACCAAAAAAATTTTGCAAACATGCTACAAATAAATTTGCTTAACCACACTAGGGTAATAGACAAAAAAAATGTATATCAAAATGCCACTTACCCCAGGTTACGGACGATTTAGTTGTTCTTGGTGGTTACTGGCGGAGTTTCCATCAATCGGTGGCGGCTGAGATTCCTAAAAAACGTAAAATTGTATAAATCGAAAATCAAAATTCGTAAACAAATATCAACGCAAACATAAAACATGAACTTGCGAGTAAAAAAATTGTTAGATATACGTGATAAACTTACGTTCACGTGTTCAAAAACACCGCCGAAGTCTCGGCCTGCTGCGCTAGTCTGAATAACAAAAAAACATGAAATGACAGTTAACAAATAAATAAAATATACTTACTGAGGGTCCTTGGTCGATGACTAAATAAACATAGCAGACGAAAAATCTAAAAAGAAAAAAAAATTATAACAAAATATTGCAAAACAAAATTGACGGGTTCAAAGTGCTAGTGCGGTCTCCACACATGACGCCGAATTTCATAACGACCTCCAAACTATACAAATCTCAATTTCAGTAACGGCGGATGAAATCCAGTTTTTTCAAAATATCTTTGATGGGAGAGGACAAAGCAGCCGGACTAGGGGGGACTATTTAGAGGGTCCAAAAACAAAATTGTTGATGTGGAAACGGTTTAACGCGGACACTTTGTACGGTCGGGTAAAAAGGTACATTGCAGAACACGGACACTTTGTACTATTATATACATAAAGTATATATTTTATAAATATAAGTTATATACCTAAGTAGTAAGTATATATAATATTATAAATTATTAAAAAATAAAAAGTAAATTGTTTCATCGTATATTAATAATGATCAAAATAATCAAACAATCAATAATATTATTATAAATCTTAATTGTATTATAATATTAGATATCAGTTTAAAGCAAATTAAAAATGTGTACAATATAAATATGTCATAATGACAAATAAAATATAAAAATGAAAAAAAATCATTAAAAACTACATGCATAGTACCTATAATATGGAAATATCTCAAAATGACAAGTATAAAGTATAATATTGACAAAAATTTTAAAAAACTACATAATATTGTATAGCATAATAATATGAAAATATGTCAAAATGGTATCAAGCTTAGATAAAAAGTGCACATTCATAATTATTTAATATTAAGGGTTTAATAAATCAATTTTAGAATAATTATTTACTTGCTAACTTAGGTATATAACTTATATTTATAATATAATATATACTTTATGTATATAAAATAGTACAAAGTGTCCGCGTTCTGCAATGTACCATTTTACCCGACCGTACAAAGTGTCCGCGTTGTACATTTTGAACAATGGACCGTACAAAGTGACCTTTTACCCTTATCCAGAACTACATGTTTACTAGCGATTAAACGACTTCAAGGTATTCATACATATGAAGTTTTAGCAAAAGCTATGGATAGTGTGTATGTCACATTTGATATTACAGACAAAATTGATTTCTCTACTACTGACAATGGGTCTAATTTTGTTAAGAGCTTTAAGTAAGTTTAAAAAATGTTCTTAAATGTAATTATCTTAATTAAACGGATTAATACAGATTTTATAAAATTTTTAGAGTATATGGTAATTTATTTGATGATATGGATGGTAATGAAAACCAATGTATTCTTGAAGATAATGACGATGATGAAACCAATCAAGTAGAAGCAATAGATTTAAACGTGTTGGTGAATGGTATAGACATAGAAGATAAAAGTTTACCTTTTACTCTTTACCTAGACATCATAGATGTTCAGCTCATACATTGAATTTAATTTCAACCACGGTACTTAATTATCTTTATTTTTATTTATTATAATTTATGTGGTACATTATACATTTATACCTACTTGTATATTATTTTTAGGATTTAAAAAAAGCTTTGTTGGATGGAAGTTATAAAAAGCAATCTAGGAGTACATTTTCCAAGTGTTATGCTCTTTGGAACACACAAGGACGGTCAACAAAGTCAGCTGATACCATAAAAAAATGTTGTGGTAGATACTTAAAAACACCCAACGCCACTCGTTGGAATTCTCTCTTTGATGCTGTAGTATGTCTTAACAAATTATTAAAGCTGAATGAATCAAAATTCAGGCTATTAATGGATAGCCTTTTTCTTTATAATTATGGTAGTTATAAAAATGACATTATTCGAATTTCATTAACTAATTGTTTTGTTTAATCTAGATTCAATCGAAATGATATTGATTTTTTGACTAATTACCAGATAGTTATGGAACCATTATCAATTAGTTTGGATATATTGCAAGATGAAAATAACATGTTCTTTGGGTACTTGGTTCCAACTATTGTTCAATGAACTTCCAAATATCAACAAATGACTCAAAGTCATACTTTACTGAAATGTGTTCAACCTCTTATTACTGCCATATTAGATGGTAAACAATTAAAAATATTATAATTAAAACATAATGATACATTGATACTATAGATAGTATCTATAATTTATACATATTTAAAAAATTTTAATTATAATTACATTTTGCCATTTTGGGCATTCAAAAAAGGTTTGATGATTTGTTGAATGATAAATTTCTTATCATAGCTGCTTTGAGCCACCCTTCATTTAAGACAGCTTGGATAAAAGATGAAGTAAAAAAACAGTTAGCTGTAGGATATTTTAAAAAGGCATGTTTAGATGAGTTCAATGAGACGGCCACACAAAATGAAGATAATACATTTGAGATTGAAACTGTTGAAAAGAATGTGGAAGATCCTTCTTCTAATTTTTTTCAGTTTTGGTCTCAAACCTTTGATGATGACCATCACTATGATTCTATTTTAAATAAAGAAATGGATCAATATTTGGGAACATCACCGACCAAAGATTTAAACAGTTTAAATCATTTACCGACAATTAAAAAAGTAAGAATTGCTACTGACTTTTTAATGTTTGTAATATTTTTTGTATAGGTATTATTCATTGATTTTAGATTCTGAGTGAAACGATGAATGTATTGATTTTACAATGATGTGTGTTTTTTTTTTTTTTTTTTTATTTATTTTTTTTGTGTCTGTGTACACGATAAGTAGTCGAAATAATGCTTCGATTTTCGACTTCAGTATCTTGTTCGATTGGAAAGTGAATATCGTTGGTGCATTGAGGAGGTCAAAATTTAAATTTCCCAGTAGTTTTCAAGAGCGCCGGGAAAAACAACATAAAAATTAAGGAAAAACGGGAATTTTTACGCAAAATCGGTTTTCCAAAAAATCGATTCTGGTTTTTGGTGTAACTTTAAAACAAATGACCGTAGATACATGAAATTTTCACTGGTTGTTTATATTTGCATCTTCTATACACGATAACATTTTCAAAATATTTTGATTTATTTTGAACAGTTTAGGGACATTTTCATTTTTCGTTTTTTTTTAGTTTTTTTTCTAGAAATATCAATAAAATTTTATTTGTTGGTTGCGAAAACTTGAAAATTTAATAGAAGGCTCCTAATATATTGTTTCAAAGGCAGATGAAAAATATTAAAAATCCTTAGTCACAATTTTTTTTATAAGCATTTAAAGTTCAAAAATTGACAAAATACGGAAAAATCACGAAAATTAGCAAATTATTTTGAGTTAAGAATTCGTAAAAATTTTTCTTTTTAAATCTAAGATTTGAAAATCTAATACAAGGTTACTCATAAGATTGTCTACCTTTATCAATAAAAAAATCTCTACCGGAAAGTCAAATTAAATTTTTATGA